ACCACTTGCTCACCTGCCCCTGTCACAGCGATTTGGCTGGCTCAGCTGAGCGTTCAGACCCGGTCTGCTCAGAGCATTAAGAGACTGTCACTACCGCTGCTCCATCATGCTTCTCATAGATGTGCTTTTTTTTTTAAACAGAATAACCCTTGTATGTACACAGCACAGGGCTGCATGTTGCTTTTGAACATCGCACTGCATAACAATGGACAGCAGCAGATGTGTATGGTGAAAAAAAGTTTAGAGGCTCGAAAAAAAAAAAATCTGTATGACTTTACCCCAGAAAGCCCAGGGCTGGTGACGCCCCTGTGTGACTCCACCACCTCACCTCTCCGTCATCCCTTTGCTTTTTAATCTGGGATAGAGAGTTATGAGCAGTGATGGTATAAGCCTCTCTTCAGGACATGGACACTTCAGGTCACGTATCGCTGTCACATAGCTCAGTGATACCGCTGCACATTCATCCACCGGCTCCTCCAAAGACAGCAGCAGCATCCCGGATTACTGCGTCTGAGATTATCATCCTCCTTTATCTTGTTTGCTTGTGTCGTAGATAGAAACATAGAGATTACTGCCCATATCCCCTAGACCATGACGATGGCTTTTTTCTGATGGGTTTAAGGGGCCGATAGCGTAGGAGGTCTGTTGTGTTATTACCGCAACACATTTCATGCTTAATTAGCATCTGGAGAGTTAATGGTACTGAATGGCAGGCTGTATATTCCCCTGTTTCCTTGCATTGCTTTCTCTGTGCTGGAATATCTCCATGGATGAGAGAAGAGAAGGGCACTGATTTTAAAACGGTTCGGCCTTGTCTGTGGAGCCTCTGTGCTCAAACGTGCCAATTTGCGGCGGCGTATAAGTATAATTTATTGTCCAAGATGTTCTTACATGGTGTACAGAGCATTGTGCAGACATTTTGCACTTATGCTTTACTCTTTTGCAATTATACAAGGGGGCGTATACAATTCACTTGTCACAGAGGCCTATTCACAAACATATCAAAATTATGTTTGACTGAAAACGCAGTGCTGAAGATAAAGTTAGTTCCTTTTATTATTGTCATTTTGCTCCCAGTTTATGCTTACGATTACGATTTGCACCTAGGCTGATGCACTCAGGTGTTCTATTTTTTGTTTTTTTTCACAGTTGTGTCTATTTTTGTCAAAGGGTTCTCATGTCTGTTTTTGAAACTGTTGAGCCAGTTAGCAATAGCAAAGAGTGAGAAACCTGGACTTATATACGGTGTAGTGTGAGGCAGACTTTAAGTGAGTTGATGATGATAGGAAAGATGTTTATAGTGTGAACTTGCTGTTTTATTTGCCCACATACCTTCATCTGAGATTTTAAGAATGGACAACTACTAACACCACTCTAATATTTAGCTCTCTGATCAGTGTACAGTACCATTGAAAATTTTGGGTCTGTTTTTTTTTTTTAAATAAAATTGATGGAAGGTGACAGCAAAGATTTATAATGTTTATCATGTTGTTTTTGAATTTTCTGTTGGTCAGAGAATACTGAAATAAAATGTATGACAATTTCCATAAAAATATTTAGCAGCGCAGCTGTTTTCAACATTGATAATAATAAGAAGTGTTTATTGAGCATCAAATGATCATATTAGAATGATTTCTGAAGAATCATGTGAGACTGAAGAATGGCGTAATCATGATAAAAATTCAGCTTTGACTTCATAGGAATTTTATAATTGTATTAAAAATATGTTTTTAAATTGTAATAATATCATATAACGTTTTATTACTGTTTTTATTGTATTTTTGATCATATAAATGCAGTCTTGGTGAGCATAAGAGACCTTTTTCAAAAACATAAATCTTACCAACCCAAAACTTTTGAACAGTAATCTGTGTTATCTCATATAAGATTGAATCGATTGGTTGACTTTCTGTCTTCCATGCTAAACTGGAAAAAAGCAACTAGTCATTGTGTCTGAAATGTCATTTCCTTCAAGTGAAAAAACAAAAAAACATTTCATATAAATTGACACTACTCATACAAATCATACACACTGGCAGAGTACATAGTGTTTTGTGTACAGTAAGTACAAAGTATATAGTACATCATTAGGGACGCAACTAGAATCAGTCAGCACTCAATATGTAAATCATATTGAATTGATATGTGCTTGTGCACATAAATAAGTGATACAAAAGCAGAAGTCTTATGATATTGCATTTGTTCACCAATGAGATTCTTCTAGACTTTAAGAGCAGCTCTTTACCCAGTGTTCAGAGGTCTGGATGGAGCTGCCGCTGCGCTAACCTCTCACGCTAGAGAGCTAGCTGTACCTGAGTGCTGTCTGCACCTGTGAAAACCTGTCATGAGGAAGGAAGTGTCAGGTGAAAATAGAGGTGGTGATGTAGGAAACGCTTTTAGAATATGTTCTTGTAACTCAAATGGTCTTTTCAGGTCTTTACTGGCTTAGAGAGGTGCAGAAATTATTCTGGGTCTGCAAACGAATCGCAATCAGCCGCAGCTGCTGTGACAACCACAGGGAAAGTGAGGGGGGTAAATATCTGTGCACTATAGCTGAACGTTATATAAAGCTGTCTGCAGTAGTTCTACCCATTTACATGTTCAAAATTCTGACTCTTTAAAGCATCTGTGCACGCAATGTACATTTAGCAGTCAAAAGTGATCTTAGAAATGTGTGTTATTTCACGTTATGTGTATGTGGATTATGGCAAGGCTACTAAGAAAGGTAAATTACAAGAGTATGTTCTACAATCAGTGTTTATATTAATAACAGCACTGAAAAGAATATATCTCAAATTAAGCTTATTTATGATTGAACCAAGCAAGAAAATTATTTGCCAATTTGGTTAAAAAAAAAAACTTACTTCAAGATATATTCTCTAATCTTACAATATTTTGTTTCTTGAGTGAATTTATTTTATTTAAAAGATGTTTGTGTGTGGAAAACAATGTGTGTGGCTTGATTACAAGAGGTCTATGGGATTTAGTATGAATTGGAGTGATAATCTAGTGCTTCACTCCTTAAGTACTAAAGGGGGTGGAGAGGTAGTGACCATCTCCTCTCTACTAGTTACCCGGCGGCCCTGTCAGCATCGCCTCACCACAGATCAATCAGATCAATACTCACAAACACAACAAGGTTTGCATGTAAAAGGCCATGAATGTCAGTTGGTCCACTGCCTCAGTTCATCCATATGGTTTGTTAAGAGCATGGACTATTCTAATTTAATTTATAATTAATTAATTATTCTATGGACAATACCTAAAATGAGGACATGAATTTGTACATTCCCATTTCTTTGTTATATTAAAGGAATAATTTACCAAAAAGTCTGACATTTTCTTATGTCGTCCCTATTTTCTTTCTTTTGTGTAACATAAAATAAGATTATTCTGCAGAATGTTGAAGATGCTCTTGTGTATATAAATGTAGATGGTGACTGTCAAACTCCCAAAAGTTCTTATGTTTTTGTCTTTTTCCTCAAACAAAGCTATTGTATGACTTGAAATATAGCACATGAGTCAAATGGACTACACTGATGGTGCTTTTTATGGCAATTTAAACCTTTTTAGAGCTTGACAGCCCCTTCTGAATGCCTTTCATTGCTTTGTGGAAAAAAAAGATTCAGAATTTCTCCTTTTGTGTTACACTGAAAAAAAAAAAGATAAAAAAATGTTTATGAACCCACTCTGGAGATATTTTCATTACAAGACCGAAAAATAAACAAAATAATCCCATCTATTGTGTCTAAAATGCAAGACTAAAATGTTACTAAATGTAAACTAAATGTACTAAAGTCACTTATGCTGCATTTATTTGATTAAAAAACAGTAATGCTATGAAATATTACTACAATTTTTTACTTTTTTTTCTGTTTTACTTCAATTTGGTACTCAAGAAATATTATTATCATCAATACTGAAACCAGTTAATATTTTAATATTTATAATTATATTATAATTATAATACTTAATATTTTGTGGAAACAGTAATATTTTTTTAGGATTCTTTAATAAATAGAAAGTTCTAAAGAATAGCATTTATATGAAGTAGAAATCTCTTGTAACATTATAAATGCCTTTACTGTCACTTTCAATCAATTTAATGCATCCTTTCTTAATAAAAGTTAAAAAAAAGTGTAATCATAGTCGTGCTGATATTTATGCGATATTGCTTAAACATGAAAAATTGAACTAGCCGGAGGGCAATAACACACATAGTATTGTCTCTCCTCGGCTCAACTGCAGTTCTCTTTCAATGGCAGACCACAGGCCGTCTGTAATCTTCACACCTCCAGTCCTGTCCTCACTCTTCCCCCTGAAGCGTCACATCATGGTGATGATGTACCATGCTCTGTTGAGACCCACTGTTCCCATGGCATGCATTTACTGTCTCCTCATGACAGCGTGTGTGTGTGTGTGTGTGTGTGTGCATACATGTGAGCCACCAGCCTCACACACTGAGGTAATGTGCATCTCTTCATCTCACAGGCAAACCCTCCCCCCATCATTGTGAACGCAGACTCACTGGATGCAGGCCCTTATGTAAGTATCTGCTTCATGCTCTCAGCACCTCCAGTAGCGCCTGCCTGCCTGACTGCCTGCCACGTGGAATTATCCCCCTCAACCTGGCCAAACCTTTCCCGGTGTACATGAGATAATAACAATAAAAATATGCACAGATTAAACGACAGCAGATGTGGACTGTAGCTTTAATGCCGAGTGCAATTATTATTTAACCGTTTTTATTTAATTATTATTTAATAATTAATTATTATTTTTATTTAATATATTATTATTTAATGAGTTGTCTTTGACTGTTTATCGGCCCTATGCCTTGTACGTGATTCATACCACTCATTTTTATTGCACTGAGTTTATAGCGTTTCTGCTTTTACATAATTAATTATAGATGTGACCTTCTTGTGTATAATTTGTTGGCATTACATCATGTCTAATGACTGTTTATGAGTCTGTTATTTTTCTTTTGTCTATTGCAGGTGAATGGGAGTGATGGCATGTATAAATATGAAGAAATCATTTTGGAAAGGGTAAATATCATTCAGCTATTTTAGGGTCTTGTAAAATTTGCCAATATTCTCCTCCAAACATTGATACCTATGGGGACCTGGACACTAGATGGCAGTAAATGTTGAGCTAATGCCTGAAATCGAACTTTAAGCAATGTAATTTAGTACATTTTCAAACCACTAGTCTCGTCACAAAATATTAGGGTTGGAAATTATATTAAAAATAATTTGGTTTAATCTCCAAAATCATCTTTCAGTATTGTTAATCTAAACATCAGTTAAATTAGTATTAAAGATTGGTGCTGCTGAATGAAAAATGTTAAAGTATTGTAATGATCACTCATCACAACTAAACTGACATAAAATCCATAGATAATACCTAATGAAAATATATAGATATACCTAATTCTTTGTAGATTAACTATTAAAATCAGTATGATTAAATAATAGTTGGATTAAATGATAGTCAAATGTATTGAAATGAATGAAAACATATGCAAATGAAACGAAAGACATTTAGACGTGTCGTGATTAAGTTACTTTGTGACTTTGTGATTTTGTGGCTTGTATTAAGTCAGTTGAGGATAATAATTAAAAAAACTGCATTTTGACAATATTTTTGGACTACTAAAGAGTAGGCTACTGAAAATGCACCACTTGTCAGATACCAGATACTTGTACCATGCAGCTCATCGTGTACAGGTGCTGTTCTTATTGAAATGTTCTTAAGAAGAATTATCATATGAACTAGCATGGTTTTAACATTGCAAGGTCTATTCATACCTGAAGTTTGTTCAATGCAAATGAATCTAAATCCGTCTGCATAGGCCATTCATTAAACAGCAGTGGATGTTGGATTTGGGTGCATCTCTGAGCTTTCAGCATAATTGCAGGGCTGTTCTCTAAGTGCCATTTCTGCACGCTGAGGCCTAAATAAACTATGTTAAGATCTCACACATTAAAAGGTCCGTGGGTGTGTTCGCTTCTTTAGTGGGAGCTCTCGCAGTGGCTCTGGAGCAGGAAAGGCACACTGGGATATCTTAGCTCCACTCTGTACTAATTTGCTGTGACCATTGCTCATTAATTATAGAAAATAATAAAGTGAAGTCTTTTCTCAGCTGTCTGCTTTAGGGCCTGTCTTTTGAGATGTGACTGTCAGACAGACCAGTCTGTCTCAGCTTTTTGGCACTGGAATGAAAACAGCAGTGTAAGAAGTGATGAAGTACAGAGGGAGGAAATAGGCGGAAACGGATATGATTTTTGGATTCTTGAAATGTACACCACAAATTCCTATATTTAGCAGCAGAAAACTGTCCATGCCTAGAAAGTGTTTACAAAGTATTGAGAGCCAGGTGCCTTCCGAAAAGCAGATGCAAACTTTTTCCAAGATCTCTATGAAAACTCTGCATTTCCTCATCTATAATAATCTACTCATGTATGTCGTCAATAGGGCAACTCTGGCCTCGGGTTCAGTATTGCTGGAGGTGTGGATAATCCACACATTCCTGATGATCCAGGAATCTTCATCACCAAGATTATCCCAGGTGGTGCTGCCGCCATGGATGGGAGACTAGGGTGAGTGATACTTTTCTCAGGATCTAATATTTCTTTGTGCAACTCTAGCTTTTTCCAAAACCTACTGTTATTTTACTACTATTTTAAAGCATCATAGGCGGACTCCCCACTTAATGGCTGTTTCAAAAGTTAGACATCTTAATTATCCTGCCTAGTTTGACCAAATTCTAAGGCTGCATCGCATGTAATCTTTGGTGGCAGAGGCAATGATGGCAGACATGGCAAGAGAAAACTCAATAGTGAAATATCTATAAAAAGTTATTTGTAATTAAAAATGTACTATTTTCCTAACCATTTTTATCCTATTAGAGTATCAGCTTAGCAGCTAACTAACAATGTCAGCTTGACAACATGCTAACGCCAAACTATTGAAATTGAAGTTGAGTTCGCAGCTCTATTTGTTGCATATGGAGTTGCTGTCAATTTTACAGTTGCTTGGAGAAGTTTTAAAGTGCCGCTATTATGCCAATTTAAGGTTCCTAATATTGTTTTGGGAGTCTCCTAGATAGATATACGTGCATGCAAGGTCAAAAAACATTTTGGTTTCCTCAAAATATCACCTCATTTTCCAACGATTCTCAAACGAATCTTTCAAAGCAGTTCTAAGATTCAGTCTCTCTAAACCCCTCCTTTCTGTAAGCCTACTCAGCTCTGATTATTATGCGTGGGGAAATTTACCATGACATAAAATTTTGCCAATGTGACTGCAACTTATGTTGAGCGATCCATATTGATCACTTATGAGGTTCAAAGACAGTTGGCAGTTAGGATGCTGTCGTAGAAGGAAGCTGGAAGGCAGCTCACTAGGTTTTTGTGTATGTATCCATTACATTGCTTTATTATATTGCTTTATCCTTGTGTCTCAGGGTAAATGACTGTGTTCTGCGGGTGAATGATGTGGACGTGTCAGAGGTTGTGCACAGCAACGCAGTAGAGGCTTTGAAGGAGGCCGGCCCAGTGGTCAGGTTGCTGGTACGCAGAAGACAGGCTCCTCCTGAGACCATTTTGGAGGTCAACCTACTCAAAGGGCCTAAAGGTAAGAAGAGCTAAATGTGTATACCAGCACATTTGAGACAGATGCTATTATGTGCGGTATCCCTATTAAAGCAGTTCTGAATTACGAATTGACCCCTTTTACTTCTTAATGTGTGCCATGCATCTGAGCACATTTTTCATAATATTGATGTAGTCATATTACTTATGAAATATGCAACATTAAGAAAATAAATTGGGTTATGAGTGCCATTTCGTGTTGACTTCAACCTCGTAAGATCTGATTTCCTGGTTAAAAATTTAACTCCATTCCATTCACTCAAGGTCTCGGCTTCAGTATTGCTGGCGGTATAGGCAACCAGCACATCCCGGGCGACAACAGTATCTACATCACAAAGATCATCGAAGGTGGGGCGGCACAGAAAGATGGACGTCTGCAGACAGGCGATCGCCTACTGGCTGTAAGATTTCACCTGCACACATGCATCTGTGTACTTCACTATATGTAGAGCCACACTTTGCATATCTTTGCAAGAGTTTTTTTTTCAGTGAATTACTTTATGCTTCAGTGAACGCAGACACTGTTGTAGGCTACTATGGCGTATTATAGACGATATATCTCATGTGTGAAGCTTTATGGGCCACAGTGTGATTGATGTGAAGCTGAGCGCAAACTCAAACAAGGACACAGCTGTGATAAAGAGAAACACTTGCATGGCACACAAGTGCCAGGGACCGAGCAGGCTTTGACATTGTCATAAATGTCATAATTAAAAGGCTACGCATCAATCGTGGCTGCTGTAACTGCAGACATGTAAAGTGTGCCATTACTTCCCTTTCTTTTCTTGGAAATTATGGTTTTAATTCAGTCGGGGACTTTGATTTTCTGAACAGAATGCATAGAGTAGGTCAAATTTTAATTATGTCTCTGTGTAGTCCATCTACAAACTAGAACAGATGCTGCATCAGATAACACTAGATCAAGAACGTAGGATCTGAAAGTGATGCTCTGTCATGTGCAGGGTTGGGCAAAATTCAAAATTTAAGTATTATCTTCCTATTACATTTACATTTACATTTAGTCATTTAGCAGACGCTTTTATCCAAAGCGACTTACAAATGAGGACAATGGAAGCAATCAAAATCCACAAAAGAGCAATGATATACAAGTGCTATAACAAGTCTCAGTTAGCTTAACACAGTACACGTAGCAAGGATTTTTTTAAATTATATAATAAATAAAAAGAAAACAGATAGAATAGAAAAAGAATAGAGCAAGCTAGTGTTAGAGGCCTTTTTTTGCTTTTGTTAATTGTATAATAAATAAAAAGAAAACAAATAGATAGAATACAAAAAGAATAGAGAAGCTAGTGTTAGTTTTTTTTTTTAAAGAAAATAAGCAGTTAGTAAATGAATAGAGTGCAAGTCTAAAAGGGGCAAGTGTTTTTTAAAGAATAGAATTAGAATAGAGAGTGCTAGAGTTAGAGGGTCAAATAAAGATGGAAGAGATGTGTTTTTAGCCGATTCTTGAAGATGGCTAAGGACTCGGAGATGGCTAAGATGGCTAAGATGACTGCTCGGACTGAGTCGGGCAGGTCATTCCACCAGGAGGGAACATTTAATTTAAAAGTCTGTGAAAGTGATTTTGTGCCTCTTTGGGATGG